AGACGTGGCCCGCGGCGTGAAGAGAGCCGAGATGATGATGGCAGCCGTGGGCGCCGGAGAAGCCGTGGTGAGAGCCGCCAGAGCCGTGGCCAGGCAAGCTCTCGAGGCGGCGGCCAGGCAAGCTCTCGGGGGAGCCGCAAAGGCGGCGGCCAGGCAAGCGCTCGAGGGAGCCGCAAGAGCTCCCGCGGCAGCGAGCACATGGACCGACGCTTCTCGGGCCGCTCCCGCAGCCGCAGGGCGAGCGAGCCTGCGGCAAGCTCCGGCCGCCGTGGGCGCGATTCTCGGAAGGAGCCGACAGGGCAGCTAGGCCGCAGCAAATCATCGCCAAGGGATCGGGCCATGGTGGCGGGTCAGAGCCAGAGCCCTCAGATCCCCCAGATGATGCTGGCCTTTTTCGATGCCACCACAAAGATGCTGGACATGCAGCAGCAGCAGTCCTAACATCGAAGATTTTTGGGCGAGAGGAAGAATCCTGGGCCTGGTGTCCTAAGATCCGTGCGATCCTGGACCCAGAGCCCTAAGATTCGGCTCTCGCATAGGAGGCTAGGCCGCGGTAGCTAGGCCGTAGAGCCAGGCCGTAGGGTAGGAGCCCGACTGGCCTTCACCCGCCCTTAGCTCACGAAAGCCTTCCGGCCCCAAGCAAAGCTACAGCTACTACAGCTTTTAAGCTTTTAGCCGGAAACCGGAAACCTGAACCCTTAGGCACCAAGCAAAATACAGCTACTACAGCTTTTAAGCTTTTAGCCGGAAACCTGAACCCTTAGGCACCAAGCACAACTGAAGCTGAAAAGGCCAAGTCGGAAGTAGCTCCAGTGTTCCACTCACCAAGCACTGCCGAGCACAGTCGTGCCAAAAAAGATTCGTTTCAGTTTTGTTTTTGCCGGGCATGTTGAACTCATAAAGGGTTTTAAGGCCACAAGAGGACAGAACACAGAAAACACAGTGAATTCTCAAGGGGGCGGCCCTGGGGGTCTTCGGGGGGGCTTTGGGGGCACTGGGAGGGCTCTGGAGGGCGTTTGCAGGGGATTTGGCACCTGTTTGGGGGTCTCGTGTTCGGGGTGTCCGGGGTCGTGTCGGGGTCGTGTCCGGGATGTCCGGGGTCGTGTCCGGGATGTCCGGGGTCGTGTCCGGGATGTGCGGGGTTGTGTCCGGGATGTCCGGGGCGGGGCCCGGGAAAGGTGTCCGGGGCGGGGCCCGAGGGTGTCTGGGGCCGTTTTGGGTGTCCCGCCCATGTCCCGCCAATGTCCCGCCATGTCCCGCGCATGTCCCGCCATGTCCCGCCCGTGTCCCGCCATGTCCCGCCCGTGTCCCGCCATGTCCCGCCGTGTCCCGCCATGTCCCGCCCGTGTCCCGCCATGTCCCGCCCATGTCCCGCCCATGTCGCGCCCGTGTCCCGCCATGTCCCGCCCATGTCCCGCCCGTGTCCCGCCCATGTCCCGCCAATGTCCCGCCATGTCCCGCCCATGTCCCGCCATGTCCCGCCCATGTCCCGCCATGTCCCGCCCACGTCCCGCCATGTCCCACCCTTGTCCCGCCCGAGTTCCGCCCAGCCCCGGTCCCGCCCACGTCTCATGATGTCCTTTGCGTCCTCTAAACTCTTTGCACAGCAGCCGATATCTCTCGAGGCTTTGTTTGTGTTAGCAGCAAAGAAAAAAAGCGCCAGGGGTATGCCTGGCAAACGCAAACGAGGTGACTCTCCAGTGCATGAGACCGCTCATGAGACCGATGCGACCCCGCCGCAGGCGGGCAGCAGCACACAGGAGCGATCCGAGCGATCCCGATCCCCGCGAGGGGAAAGGGTTGCGACTATCATTTGGAAGTGGTGCTGGAAACGAATGGAGACAGATGATGGGACCATTTGGTGGTGGCAATGGTGGAAGGAAGGGTCAACGAATGGAGACAGATGATGGGACCACTTGGTGGTGGCAATGGTGGAAGGAAGGGTCCAGAATCTGAGTGCGGTTTTTTTTTGGGTCAGCCCGACAATAAGAGTTTGCGGTATGCTGTCGCCGACAATCAGAGTCTGCGGTGGAATGCTGTCGCCGACAATAAGAGTTTGCGGCGGAATGCTGTCGCCGAATTGCATGACTCAGAGATTGCATGATTGCCTGTCTCAAGGCCTTGCATGGAAATGGAAACAAGTGCATTGCAAGGGTAGACTGTGCCACCCAATTGCCTGACTGAGAGACTGGATTGCATGATTGCTTGTCTTTTTCCGTGGGTGGAAATGTTTACATCAGTCCTGAGTTTGTCACTGAGAGTGAGCAAAGCCAGTTCCAAGAATAGCGTAGACAGCCGGAGCCATCATCCTGATTTCTTTTCTTTCTCAAGCCAAGCTTTTGTTTTTAGTGGGTTGCAGCCTCAGCATGATGGAGACTGGGGCAGCGAAGCTCCTGTATGCGATGAGTCCTTGGAGCTCAAAGCTGGGGCGTGCACCTGTGGTTGCTGAGCCCTGTGTAGGCATCTCTGCTTATCGAGAGTGGATGCAGAAAGCAGGGCTTGTTTACAGGCCATGCGCAGCCTACGATTTCAACATGGACTTGGTGCCGTTTTGGCGAGCTCTGCGAAACCAGGGTTTGCAGGGGACTTCGGAAGTCAAACTGGTTTTGCAAGAAGGGGACATCGAGAGGAATGTCGTGCTGTCAAAACTGTCAAGTGCGGAAGGCTTGATAAGCGGGCCCCCTTGTCAGCCTTTTGCCTCCACAGGTTTAAGGCAGGGCGCCCAGGACGAAAAAGGCCGCACAGATGTTTTTGAATCAGTTGTAAGCATGATATGTGAGGAAGGCTCGCGTGGCTGTCTTCTGTTTTTCATTCTGGAAAACAGCTCACATTTGGCTGATGCCAACCATGCTGAGTTTCTGAATGAGATGCTCTTGAGACTTGAAGTGTCACTGCCATATTTTTTGGTAGACACCGTGAAAAAGGATGCTGTGGAGTTTCTGCCAGTCAAGAGAGGTCGTTTTTTCATCAGAGGGCTAAGGAGAGACTGCCTGCCAGACCCCATGCAGGCGTTCCTCCCTGCCCCCCTGTGCTGCACGGATCTGCTCCCGGCAGTCACAGTGGAAGAGATTTTGGATCTGAGCTTGGCTGCGATCGATGTGCAGAGTTTGTGTGCAGGGCACGCTGCTAACCTCGCATTGTACAAGCAGACCATATCTCAGTGCATCGAAGAGCATCGTGCCCAAGGCAAGCCGCTGCCCTCGAACACGGTTGTTGTGGAGCTCGACCGAAACCCCTTGAGAACTTTCGGCGGGAAGTGGGGTTGGGGCAAGATCCCATCACTGAGGACTACGGGGCCACCTTTGTTTCTTCTGAGTTGCGAGGACTTGTCGAGGCCATGGCAGGTCATGCGACTGCACAGGTGGCTCAGCATCGCTGAGCGGTGCAGCGCTCTGGGGCAGCGTGCAAGCCACGCGGCCTTGTTCTCGAGAGACACCCATGCCCTGCATGCGATCGGGAACGCTCTCTCGCCAGTGCAGCTGGCCGCTGTTGCCTCGCCGCTCGTGGAGGCAGCGCTCAACTCTGGCGTGCTCACTGCAGGCAACCGTTGCAAAGCCTGCGCAGTGGAGCTTCTGCCGCACACGAAGCCACCGGGTACATCAGCAGCTTGTATCCTTGAAGAGACCCCGAGGCCAAGGGCCACAAAAGGTTCCAAACCAAAGGCTGCAGTTGAAGAGGCAACACAAAAGACTCGAAAACCGAGGGCCAAAAGCAGTGCAAAGCCGAAGGCTTCAACTGAAGAGGCAAGCCCAAAGACCCGAACCCCGAAGGCCAAAACAGCTACAAAGCCAAAGGTTTCAACTGAAGAGGTAACCCCAAAGACTCGCAACCCCAAGGCCAACAGGGTTCGAAAGCCAAGGGCTCCAACTGAAGAGGAAGCTCCAAAGACTCTGCCTCGTGACACCAGCGCAAAGCCAGAGGCTTCAGCTGAAGAGGAAGCCCCAAAGACTCTGCCTCGTGACACCAGCACAAAGCCAGAGGCTTCAGCTGAAGAGGAAGCCCCAAAGACACTGCCTCGTGACCGTGACACCAGCACAAAGCCGGAGGCTTCAGCTGAAGAGGAAGCCCCAAAGACTCTGCCTCGTGACACCAGCACAAAGCCGGAGGCTTCAGCTGAAGAGGAAGCCCCAAAGACTCTGCCTCGTGACACCAGCACAGCTGGTAGATGGCACCCAGGACTTACCACGTCACCAGCCAGAAGGCAGCACCCAGGACTTACCACGTCACCAGCCAGAAGGCAGCACCCAGGACTTACCACGTCACCAGTCCGATGACTTGGAGCTAGAGCTTGAGCGACTGGTTGACGAGCTTTTTTCGGATGATGATCCGGGCATGGACGTTGATGATGCTGCGCCACAGAGTCCACTCGTCCTGAGTGAGAAAGCAACACACCTCTTCGAGTGTTTGGCTAAAGCCAAAGCTTCATCCAAAAACTGGCTCTCGCCAGCAAGCAAGAGCTCCAAGAACGAATCTGAGCCAGCACAAAGCTCCGGAAGCAAGGGTGGCGACAGACGGAGGCGTTCTACTAGCTCAGGGCGAGACATGCCAGAGAATGCTCAGCGCAAGCTGCGTTTCCCACCTCACTTGAACCTGCCAAAAGAAGCGATCCACCTCTCGGATTCCGACTAGCGCTTCTAAGCGGTGTCGGTTGCCATGGTGGCGGTGTGCAAAACAGTCTTCCGATAACCCTTCTGTGTTCGCTGAGTAAGCTTGCCGGGTAGTTCCCTGATGACAGCCATTGAACTCAGGGTTCTTGTTTTTGTGTCTTGCAGCGATTTGTTTGGCTCCACAAGCCCCTCAGCTCCCACACTCGTGCTCCCCTGCCCCGCAGCAAGCATGACAGATGCCCCGGACCAGGAGATGCCTCAGAGCATCATGTGCATCAGGTGATCATCAGGTGTGAGGAAGAGACAAGCATCTTGACGAGCTACCCAACTGGAAGGAACTGCTTGAGGCGGATCTGCTCCTGCTGTTCGTCCACAGACCGGTGCCTCTCTCGGATGGCTAAAGCACCGAAGAAGGGCTCTGCCGAAGAAGCCAAAGAAAGCGAGGAGGCCAAGAAAGCTCGAAAAAGCGCTGAGGCCCTGAGGGGAAGCGGGGCCAAGATGGGTTCCTCGGAGCGTGCCCAGTGGTACCGCCAAGAGAAACGGAAGCGGGCAACCGAGTCAAAGAAAAGCCGCAGGACCTTCGCAACGGCAGTGGGGGCCTTGGAAGAGACTCGCCAGACTGGGAAATTGCAGCGGCTCACGATACATGACCCCCCGCGACTGGTGCGCACGGGAAATGATCCTGAAGCAGTACAGTACCTTGGAGGATGCTATGGCAGCCTACGAGCAGCGCTGCACGGATCCGGACGTTGTGACCAAGGAGATCAACGGGGAACTCTGCCTCCGGGTCAACAACGGAGGTCTGGAAAATGTCGTGGACCGCCATACCGTTGCAGCATCCGTGCGGCAGCGGACTGACCTTGGCGATGGCGAGCAGCTTGATGGTTTCGAAGAGGAAATCGCACCTCGCATGAAACGTGCTTCTGACAAGCTCCAAACAGAGCGGCTTCTGTCAGAGCAGCAGGGCAAGCAGGCCTACGTTCCGGCCGTCGCGGTGCGACGAGATTTGGAGCAAGAGAAGGAAGTTGCTGAGAACAGAGCTGCTGAATTTCAGCAGCAAGCCTTGGCACTCAAGGAGAAAGCTGATCAAAAGAGGAAAGAGTTGAAGGAGAAGCAAGCAACCCAGCTTCCCTCCTTGGCAGTGGCAAAGCTCAGCCTCACCAACGCTATCCACAAGGCAAATG